ACACCAGGAGCCACCAGAAGTCCAAAGAGGCAAGGATCAGATTCTCCCCTTGAGCCTCTGGAGGGAATGCAGCCCCGCTGACACCTTGATTTTGGCTCAGTGACACTGATTTTGGATTTCTGGCTTCCAGAACTGTGAGAGAACAACGCTTTCCCTTATTTCAAGCCACCAATTTTCTGGTATTTTGTTACTGCAACCACAGGAAACTAACAGTTTTTCATCCAGAAAGAGGTGACAGTGAGTTGTATCTCACAGGGGTATTGAGAGCCTTGGAAGAGTTGGACTATGAGAAAGAATCTAGACAGAACCCAGAAGGCACCAGGTGATGAGTCAGCCTCAAGTGCCTTCCTTATCTTGTCCCAAACCCACTCCTTTGAGGTAGAGCACTAGGGTGGTGAGGTAGAGCTGGAGTCTTGAAGTTGTAAAGACCTGTGCTGTCATCCTGACCCCACCACCGAGCAGCTGCGTGATTATAAGAACTACCTGATCTGGGCTGGGTGTGGTGGCTCATGGCTGTAATCCCAGCACTTTGGGAGGCTGAGGTGAGTGGATCACCTGAGGTCAGGAGTTCAAGACCAGCCTGGCCAACATGGTGAAACTAAAAATACAAAAATTACCAGGGTGTGGTGGCACGTGTCTGTAATCCCAGCTACTTGGGAGGCTGAGGCAGGAGAATCCCTTGAACCTGGGAGGCGCAGGTTACAGTGAGCAGAGGTCGCGCCATTGCACTCCGGTCTGGGGGACAAGAGTGAAACTCTATCTCAACAACAACAACAAAAAGAACTACCTGATCTCGTAACCCCCATTTCCTCAACCATTGATAAAAGTAACTAGCACCTACGTCAGAAGAATACTGAGAGGCTGGCTCTGTCGCCCAGGCTGGAGTGCAGTGGCACAATCTCAGCTCACTGCACCCTCTGCCTCCTGGGCTCAAGCGATCCTCCCACCTCAGCCTCCTGAGTAGCTGGGACCACAGTCATGTACACCACACTCGGCCAATATTTTTTGTATTTTTTGTAGAGACGGGATTTCACTGTGCTGCCCAGGTTTGTCTTGAACTTGCGAGCTCAAGCAATCCACCCATCTTGGCCTCCCAAAGTGCTGGGATTACAGGCGTGAGCCACAATGCCTGGCTTTCCTGTTTTATTTTCACCTGCTGAAAATAAACCAGAAGGCACAGGGCAGGATGGAGCTAACTTCAGTTTCTCTGCCATTTCACTTACTCGCCATTTACAGAGCTCTGCCCAGTGCCCAATGCTGGGTCGGGTCTTACAGATACACTGGTGGGCCAAACAGACTTTTCAAATAGTGAGGAGGCAGGAACGAATGTAATAATCACGCAAGTACTTTGGGAGGCTGAAGCAGGAAAATCACTTGAGCCCAGTTCAAGACTAGCCTGGGCAACAAAGTGAGACTCCACCCCCAAGAAGAACAAAAAAATTAGCCAGGTGTGGTGGTGCACTGAGCAGTCCCAGCTACTCAGGAGGCTGAGCTGGGAGGATCGCTTGAGCCCGGGAGGTTGAGGCTGCAGTGAACTGTGATTGCGCCTCTGTACTCCAGCCTGGGAAACAGAGCAAGACCTTGTCTCAAACGAAACGAAACAAAACAAACAACCCCCCCCGCCACACACACACACAAGTAGGTAATCAGAAATGCTATGAAAGAACAGTACTTAGGGTGATATAAAAGAGACTTTTGAACTGAAGCCTCAAGGATCCATTGGAGAAGGAGCATCTCTGGGGGTCTGAAGGGCATGCGAAAGAGGCTGAGACAGGAGGGAGGAGGGCAGAGGGAAGAAACAGAGGGGGAGCCAAGGAGTGGCAGGGCGTGATGCTGGTGGCAGGGGCAGAGGCAGCCTGGGTAGGCTTTGTAGCCGCGCCTGTGGAGCTTGGTCTTTGTCCTGAGCACAAGGGCAGTCCCTGGAGGGTTTAAGTTGGGCGGAAGTGAGGGGAAGTGATAGGAGAGGATGGATAATCAGATTAATTTTCTTTTAGAATCCTGCTCTGCTGGCAGGGAAAAGAATGAAGTGGAGGGGGTTGGAGTGGACACACAGAGGGAGACTACTTTGGTCTCATGGTGGTGAGCACTAGGGTGGTGACGGTGGAGATATAGAAGGAGGATGGGCTCCCACGTCATTGAGGAGGTAAAATGAACAGAACTTGGTTGCTGACTGGAAGAAGCAAGGAAGAGAGAAGAAGAGTCAGAGGTCCTTTCCAGGTTATTGATGTAAACAATGTGGGGTGGAGGGAAGTGCTATACTCTGAGATCTAGAACAATGAGAAGAGGCCTAGGCTCTGGGGAAGATCCTGAGTTCCTTCTTGAAAATGGGTCTACTATGACTCATTGCTTTGCCTGGCTCAACCCAGGCCCCATCTGAAAGGCAGCCATGTTTTTTCATACCAGCTGACACTGCCTCCCCCTTGGCAACAGCTGATTGGACAAGGGGTAGGCACGTGACCATGTGCACCCATTCATTGGCCAGCTGCTGACCTATGAAATAGCTGGCACACAAAATGACCTGGGCCAGTCAGACCTTTTCCCAGGAGCTGAACTGGGGAATTGTAAGAGGACAGGGCACATGCAGTGCATGCTGCAGACCACAGATTGTGAGCTGCAGTGACAGCCAGGGAGAATGCTAGGAAGCCTTGGTCTAGCTTTGCACTCTCAGCTCTGAGTCTACTTATAGAAGTGAATCTGTACAATATCCCACTCTTTGCAGTAACTGGACAGCACCTCTGTTCTGACCACAGCAGAGAGACTAAAAGCTCAGACTCAGGGGCCTGACTGCCTGGTAGTCTGACTTTACTCTTCAGCTTCTAGCTGTGTGGCCCTGGGCAAGTCACTGAACCTCTCTGTGCTGTAGTTTCTTTCTTTCTTTTTTTTTTTTTTCCAGTTTCGCTCTGTCGCCCAGGCTGGAGTGTAGTGGTGTGATGTCATCTCACTGCAAGCTCCGCCTCCCTGATTCAAGCGATTCTCCTGCCTCAGCCTCTCAAGTAGCTGGGACTACAGGTGCCCGCCACCACGCCCGGCTAATTTTTTTGTATTTTTTTTAGTAGAGATGGGGTTTCACTGTGTGTTAGCCAGATGGTCTCGATCTCCTGACCTCGTGATCTGCCCGCCTCGGCCTCCCAAAGTGCTGGGATTACAGGTGTGAGCCACCATGCCCGGCCTGTAGTTTCTACATCTGTGAAAATGGGATGGCAGTAATAACAGGATCCTGTTCACAGGGATGTGGTCATGACTCAATGAGTTTGTACATGTAAAGTACTTGGGACAGAGGCCAGTACACAGTTAAGCGGCCTCTAAGAGTTTGCTATTACAGTTGTTATTCCTGGTCCTAATTAGAACAGGCAGAAAAATGATCCATTGGTGACAATCTGTTCTCAAGTGTCACTTAGCACAGGCCACTCTGTGGGCTCTGCCTGTACTGCCCCTCTGTCTGACCTGGCTGGCTGTGGAGAGCCAACAATTTCCCAGCAGCTGACAGGTGCTAAGGAAAAGTGGAAGACATTGCCATTTCTCAATACTGGCTTCAGTCCAGGCTCCTCCTCATCCTGGGTTCCTGGGGTCAGAGCTTGGCTGTAGCTGGGCGCAGGGAGGGGTGTTACTGCTCAAGTGAGGATGATGTGCCTTGTGCCTGCAGGTGGCTGCAACCTATGCCGTTGCAGGAGCTGGTCCACCTTGACGAGGCAGCTGATGGCTGCAGCCCATTCCTGGTCAATGTATGTGGTACCCAGGAAGCTGGCAGTGTAGCTCTCAGACTTTCACTGGCCAGACCTGTCATATCTAACAAGGGAGTGAGGCCGGAGCAGATGTTTCAAGGAGGGGGCCAACCAGAAGCTTCCCCCTGGGGTTCCCAGCCCAAGAACACGAAGCCAGTGTAGGGGCACACAAAGCCTATGGAAACAATCCTGGCTAGGATTCTCAGAGGTCAGACAGCTGGGAGAGACCCTTGGGATTGACATAAGGCAGACATGAGTTCAAATCCTGGTTCTGACAAGTGTCTATCAGGGGATCTCTGGTCCTCAATGTCTTTGTCTGTAAAATGAGGATAAGTGTGTATATCCTGAAGGGTAGGGTGCTAGTAGCAGTAGTAGGAGGAAAGAGGGGCATAGCAGTGATTTAAAAGCATCACCCTGGTAGCCAACATGTATTGAACACTTACAATGAGCCAGGCCAGCCCTAAATATTCATAAACTCCATTGACGCCATGAGGGAAGTCTCATGGTAGAGTGAGTAGGGTCCTGGCATACTAAAATCAGGTAACTGAAGAGTTTAATACCTGTGCTATTTACAAAGGTGTGGGCAGGGTTTGTGGAAACCAACAAGAGGTGGTCTAGTCCAGAAGGGTAGAGGGAGGGCACAGTCACCAGACCTAGATAGAAAGCTGTCTGGAGGAGCTGCCTGTGATAAGAACTGTGTGTTCAGACTTATTTTCGACATGTGAGAAAGCGGGTGGTAGGAATAACAGTGCCCGCTTCCCAGGGATGTTGTAGAGATTCAGTGGGTTACTGGGTGTGAAGTACGAGGAATATCACTCACCCATGGTAACCCGGGAGGGAGGAAACCAGGTGTGGCAGGGAGCGGAATGCTGCGCCCACCCAAAAATGTCCATATCTTTTAGAAAATTATTTTATTTTTATTTACTTTTTTTTTTTTTTTTTTTTTTTAAGAGACAGAATCTCACTCTGTTGCCCAGGCTGGAGTGCAGTGGCATGATCATGGTTCACTGCAGTCTGGAACTCCTGGCTTCAAGCGATCCTCCCACCTTGGGCTCCCAAATAGCTGGGACGGCAGGCATGTGTCACCACACTAAGCTAATTTTTAAAATTTTTAGTAGAGACGGGGTTTCGCCAGCAGGTTGGTCTTGCCCAGGCTGGTCTCAAACTCCTGGCCTCAAGCGATCTTCCTGACTCAGCCTCCGAAAGTGCTGGGATTATAGGTGTAAGCCATTGAGCCACCACACTCGGCCCTATTTTTTTTTTTTTTTTGATTTAAAAAAAAATATAGCATGCTTCATGAATTTGTGTGTCATCCTTGCATAGGGGCCATGCTAATCTCTGTGTCATTCCAATTTTAGCATATGTGCTGCTGAAGTGGGCATGATGTCCACATCTTGTTTTTTTTTTTCTTTGGAGATGGAGTCTCGCTTTGTTGCTCAGGCTGGAGTGCAGTGGTGCGATCTCGGCTCACTGCAACCTTTGCCTCCTGGGTTTAAGCAATTCTCCTGCCTCAGCCTCCCGAATAACTAGGACTACAGGTGCATGCTGCCACACCCAGCTAATTTTTTTTTGTATATTTAGTAGAGACCGGGTTTTGCCATGTTGCCCAGGCTGGTTTTGAACTCCTGAGCTCAGGCAATCCGCCCACCTCTTCCCCCCAAAGTGCTAGGATTACAGGCGTGAGTCAACGCGCCCAGCTGATGTCCACACCTTAATCCCTAGAACCTGTGAATGCTACCTTATGTGGCAAAAGAGACTTTGCTGATGTGATTAAGGATGGGAGATGAGCCTAGATTATTTGGGTAGGGCCAGTGTCATCACAGGGTCCTTATAAGAGGAAGGCAGGAGGGTAAGAATCAGGAGATGCAACAATGAAGGCAGAGGTGTGGCATGGAGGGAGAGAGGAGAGAGGAGAGAGGAGAGAACGCTCAACCTGACATCACTGATTTGGAAGATGGAGGAAGAACACAGCCCTGCCAACACCTTCATTTTTGCCCCAGTAAACCCCATTTTGGACTCCTAACCTCCAGAACGATAATAAATTAATGTTGCTTTAAACTGCTAAGTTTGTAGCAATTTGTCACAGCAGCCACAGGAGACTAACATGCTGGGGGAGTAAATACCTCTGCCTCTCTCTCCATCGGCTGAACCCAACTGGAAGCTGATGGGCACAGGAGCCCATAGTTCATGCAGGTCAGCCCCCTGGGCAGACAGCAGGGTGAGAAAGATGGAGAGTGTAGCTGAAACGATCAGAGGAAGTCATTTAGCTGAAAAACTATTACCCCATTTTACAGATGAGGGCACTGAGGCTAAGTCATTCAAACAAGATTGCACAGCTAATCAGTGCAGAGCTGGCAGTCATGAAGATTAGACAACACAGGGATTGTGAATCACTCATTGAGCAATTACCATGTGCAGAGTGTGGAGCAAAGCACTCTGTATTTCCCACAACCAATAGTTCTTACAAACGGAGTACTTTGGAGGAAGGTGCTATTGTTATTCTCAGTTGACAGATGAGGAAACTAGGTTTTTGTCACCTGCCCAAAGTCACACAGCTGGAGAGGCGCATGGCTGGGATCTGAACACAGATGTGTCTGATGCCAGAGTCCATGGGCATAGCCATCAGGCCATGCTGCTTTCCAGTGTCAAGTGCGTGGTGCTGACCTGGAACCCTGCACGAGCTCAGTGGGCAAAAGGTCCTGGTCATCATGGTCTTGGGGAGGGTAAACGGGAGGCATCTGAGGACTTTCCTAGGCCTGTTGTTTCCCCTCTGGCCTTTCTTCTCCACATTTCTTTTTTTTTTTTTGTCTTTATGCCATTTTGCATTTCCTAGCACTGCCTTTTGGGTACCAGAGCTGTGGCTTCGTCTAAGAAAACCTCAGCAGCCTAGGATTTTGGCTCAACTAGATAAATCAGGGGTCCCCAATCCCGGGGCTGATGACTGGTACTAGACTGTGGCCTGTTAGGAACCAGGCGCACAGCAGGAGGTGAGCAGTGGGTGATCAAGCATTACCACCCGAGCTCCACCTCCCATCAGATCAGCTGCAGCAGTCGATTCTCCTGGGAGTGTGAACCCTATCGTGAACTGCACATGCGAGGGATGATCTAGGTTGCATGCTCCTTACGAGAATCCAGTGCCTGATGATCTGAGGTGGAACAGTTTCATCCCAAAACCATCCCCACCCTGATCCGTGGAAAACCTGTCTTCCATGAAACCGGTTCCTGGTGCTAAAAAGGTTGGGGACCACCGTGTTAAATCACACAGTGGAGGAAGGGAGTGGACATGAAAGGTGGGAGGACCAAAACGGGCCCAAAGATTGGGGTCATGGGTTGGGTTAGTTGCCACTCAAGATCGATGGTCACTTCCAAGCTGCTCTGCTGTCAAGCAATGCCTGGGACATGTCTCAGCTTTCTGAACTTGAAAGATGGCTGTTTTTACATAATGGAAAGCAGGAGACTTTAAACATTCTTTAGTCCATCTGCTTCAGTCCACATTCCCTTTGGGTCACCTTACAGAGCCACTGGCAATCGCTATGTCCTATAGGTGATACCTTGTCTGAGCCCTGCTCAGTCCTCTGAACTCCAAAGTCTACTCCCCAAGGCCTCTTCATTCCAACACCTGCCTGGAGGCCTTTCTCTGTGATACACTGCAAAGCATCATTGTCCTCACCACCCACTCCAGGGTCTGTGGCAGACATCACTAATCAATCATGGAGATCTTTCCTTCCGAGCCTCAGTCCCCTCTATAAAATTAGCTCCTGGAAGCCACAAATAGTCAAAACCTATTAGGGCTCTCCTTCCCTGGGAGAAGCAGGACCCAGAGCATGCTAACATGCTTTTTTTTCCCTCTCTCAGGTGAAATGTGGATGAAAATTGCATCAAGGGTAGCTGTGAACAACCTAACTTAGGAAATGCACTTGGAAAGTAGAGGTGTGACAAGGTGGTGATGACAAAGAGCCATGCTCAGCTTCATGGAATTAGAAGAGGTGGGTGACAGGAGCTATGAGCTCAGGCTCTCTTTATTTTATGTGCTGACATCAGTCCACTCTCATCCATTCTTTCCTCCTCAGAAGGCACTCTGAATCCTCTGTGTGATCCATGTGACTGGGGTTACCTGATGGTTGCAGCCAGTGCCTACCTTGGACTTGACGGCCAGGATGATCTTGGGCAGGGCCACGATGAGGCACTTGAGGGCGATGGTGATGTACTTTAGAACAAAGTCTGCGATCCCCACGATCCACAGCAGGTCAAAGAAGTCCAGTGTCTCCAGGTTGGGCTTCAGGAATATGAGGCTGGGGGAAGGATTCAGAGGGTCAGAAGGTTCCCTTAGGGCCAGGCCTCAGCAGCTCCTTCTACTCACTCAGGAGCCTTCTAAGTATCACCTGTAGAAAAAGCACTGAACTGGGAGTCAGACGTCTGTGTCCTTTTCCTGAAGTATCACCTATAGAAAGAGCACTGAACTGGGAGTCAGACGTCTGTGTTCTTTTCCTGAATCTGCTACTCACCTGCTGTGACCTCACATGGATCTTTTAACCTCTCTGAGTCTTAGTTCCCTTGAGAGTTAAATGGCCATATTGGAGTTTCATTAAGGTCCCTGTTTTAGTCCTTTTTTGTGTGTTGCTATAACAGAATACCTTAGGCTGGGTAATTTGTAGAGGAAAGAGGTGGTTTTGTTTGTTTGTTTGTTTTTGAGATGGTGTCTTGCTCTGTCTCCCAGGCTGGATGGAGTGCAGTGGTGTGATCTCGGCTCACTGCAACCTCCATCTCCTGGGTTCAAGTGATTCTCCCGCCTCAGCCTCCCAAGTAGCTGGGACTACAGGCATCTGCCAACTCAGCTGACTAATTTTTTGTATTTTTAGTAGAGACGGGGTTTTGCCATGTTGGCCAGGCTGGTCTCAAACTCCTGACTTCAAGTGATCCCCCCACCTCAGCCTTCCAAAGTGCTGAGATACAGGCATGAGCCACTGTTGTCAGCCAGAGGAAAGAGTTTTATTTAGCCCAGGGTTCTACAGGCTGGGAAGTTCAAGGGCATGGCACTAGCTTCTGGTGAGGGTTATTTTTCTGGTGCATCATAACATGAAGGAGAAGGCCAAAGGGGAAGCAGACAAACCCCAGGGGCATCCTGGCTTTATAAGAACCCACCCTCACAGGAACTAATCCATTCCCATGAGACTAACCCAGTTTCACCAGAGCAAGAACTCACTCACTGTCATGAAAATGGCACCAAACCACTCATGGAGGATCCATACCCGTGACCCAAACACCTTCCGCTAGGCCCCATCTCCCAACACCACTGGGGATCAAATTTCAACATGAGTTTTGGTGGGGACAAACCCAACCATAACAGTGCCCTCTAGTTTTGTGGGTCCACAACAGGCTTTATAAGAGGAGGCAAAAGTAAGGAAATAAGGAAGGAGGGAAGAAAAGAAAGGAGGAGGAAGAGAGGGAGGGAAGGCAGGGAGAGGAAATTAGGAAGGCAGGCCAATACTATGAAGGAGGGAGGGAAACTGATGTGCCAGGAACTGTGCTAAGCTCTTTGCTCACTGATCCTCACGACTGTCCCGTGCAGTGAGTGTTGCTTATCTCCAGTTTATAAATAAGGCGCTGAGGCTTGGAGAGGTGACGTCAGCTGCCCAAAGTCACACTACATAAGCATAAAGGCGTTGGTATCAGACAGACTTGAACTGGAATCCAGGCTTCTCCATTTATTGGACCCTGGGCAAATAAAGTTATCTCTGTAAGCCTCAGTGTTCTCATGAATAAAATGGGAATTGTTCCCTGCCTTATGGTGTCATTGGCAGGATTTGATGAGATAATGGACAGATTACAGACCCTGCGGTGCAGCAGTGATGACGATAGTAATACTATGAGGCAGGTACTTTTATCCACCCCATTTTGCAGATGAGGAAACTGAGGCACAGAAAGGTAAAGTAATATGTGGAAGATCCTGAAAATATTAAGGGACAGAGGTGGCCTGGAACCCAGACATCCTGGCTGCAGTTAAAGTTCTCCATCCATACTCTACAGCTGAGTAGTGTAAACCTGTCCATGACCAGATAAGTGAAACCTCATGTTCAGTTTCTGAACTTAACTTGTTGGAGACAGACAACAAGCAGTTCTCAAACTGGCACTGGTGAACAGACCACACTTTGAGTGGCACTGCTCTCCAACACCCCCCAAGAGGGGAATGTTCTTTGCAATAGTGGCTAAAATATCCTGGCTTTAGATGTCATGCAGCCCTGCTCTGTGCATTTTACATATCTTAACTCATCTTGTCTTCCCAAAGACTCTATGAAGTAGGTACTGTGAATATCCCATTTTGAGGCTGGGCGCGGTGGCTTACGACTGTAATCCCAGCAGTTTGGGAGGCAGAGGCAGGCGG